AGTCACCACACAGTCCGAGCACAAGCAAAGGGCCACATGTCCAGTTCACTTGCAGAGTTGGAGGAGAACGAGGCCGCTCTCCCAAGTCGGTAAACAGGTAGGTCAGCCAGCGTAACTCCTGTGTAGCCATGGCCCCCGCGTAGATCTCAGCTTCACAACTTGAGCTGAGAGTAGAAGATAAGCGAGTAGACCTCCAAGAAACTGAATTGGAGCCAAGGCTGAAGGTGTAACCTTGTGACGACCGCTGAGTTACCAGGTCGTCTGCCCAAGAAGCGTCTGAGTGTACAGTGAATATAACTGGACCCCGCCCTCCAAGCACGAGCCCCATGCCTGATGTACTACACAATTAACGCAGAACCCTCCTAGCGGCCTGCCAGTGCTTTGGTCATTGTCTCCTGGGCGCAATCTAACGTGGCAGGATGGTGAGAGGGTACGCGAGGTCCGGTGGAGTGCAAGTCATCAGGTACAAGAGACAACCCACAAGCTTTGGATACTAACCACTCGGCTCTACGGACTCGTCCTTAGGTGGAGCTGAGAACGAGTGGCCTGTAGGCAGAGGAGTGGACTGTGGCAAGGACCACGAGAATTCGAAGCGCTGAAGGACCTGCTGCACCATGTGTGACTGAGTTAGAGTGATGGTGTGCTGTGCTCTGTCCCAGGCAATCTGCAAGCCAAGATAGCTACGCAGTTTACCAATGTGGGTGCAGGTGTGTCTCTTCTGCAACTCCGACTTCACAAGGGCTAGTGCCTCAATGAAAGCAGTGGCAAAAACCAAGTCGTCGACGTACACGAGGATGTAGAACGGCGGTAGTGAAGTGTCGTTGTGCAGAAACAGCGACGGGTCAGCAGTCGAAGGAGCAAACCCAAGAGCCGCAAGCGTCGTCCTCAGTCTGTCGTGCCACTCGCGAGGCGCCTAGCGGAGACCGTAGACTGGCCACCGGAGGCTCCACTAGGTACCTGCAGGAAACGACCTAGTGAAGCCAAGTGGGCGGCGCAGCCAAATCTCCTCGTGCAGAGTGCCCTGTAAGAAAGCTGTGCTCAAGTCAAGAGAGTGAAGCTCGTATTCACGTTGAGCAGCGACGTGCAGCAGCACCCGAAGAGTGGTCATCTTAGGGGTCGGGGAGAAGGTCTGAAAGAAGTCAACTCCCTGTCGCTGCCTAAAGCCTCGTGCAATGTAACGAGCCTTGAAGACAGGCGGAGAACCCGACGGCCGCTTCACCCTAAAAATCCACATGCCATCGACTATGTTCGCCCCAGGAAGGGGAACTGCGTCGACGTAAGTGCATGTGGACTTCCAGGATGCCATCTCTGCGTCCATGGCTATCTGCCACTGTGAGGAGTAGGGACCCGTAATCGCCTCTGCGTAAGAGCGCGGGGTCGGGATGTCCAGTGCATCCGGATCTCCCTCATGTGAAAGCAGCATGGCCACGAGATGAGGTACAGCAGCTGCAAACACTCAAAGTCCTCCTGCCTGTCCTCAAGGACGTCCGTGCCAAGAGCACACTCACCCCCGACCGTTGGGGGACAGACAAACTCAGACTCAGCAACAAGACAAGCGGCGTAGTCGAGACGACACGCAGCAGTAAATATAACAAGCTCAGCAACTAAGGCAGACGTAGTTGTGGACTCAAACGAAGGGTCGGTGACAATAATGGCTAGGAGCCGTGAGACAATAGGACTGGCAGCTCAAACCAAGTTAGACTCACGGTCCAGAACGTGAGGAAGAGAGGACTCCAAAGGAGAGAGCCGGGGAATTTGCAGTGCAACAGAGGAAGGACGAATTGCCATAGTGTGGTGCGGAGGACAGGAGGAGGACGCTGGCGGTAAATACGACGACCAATGCGAACAACGCAAAGAGGCGAGGCAGGACAAGACGCAGGCTCACGACACTCTGTAAGAGAGTCTGCCTGCTCAGTGTAAGGAGAAGGAGCAGGCAGAGGGGGGTTTGGCTGTAATTGTGACTGTGACTAGTCAGGCGATAGAGGCCAGTACCTCAGTGCCAACAGTAGCAAAGACCAAGTCGTCGATGTACACGAGGATGTAGAATGGTGGCAGAAAAGTGTTGGTGCGTAGAAACAACGACTGTCAGCAGTTGAAATTGCAAAGCCAAGAGCTGCAAGCGTCGTCATTGGTGTATCGTGCCACTTGCGAGGCGCCTGGCGGAGATCGTAGACTAGCTGTCGGAGGCTCTAGTGGGTACCTTCAGGAAACGACCAAGTGAAGCTAGGTGGGCAACGTAGCCAAATCTCCTTGTGTAGGCTGCCCCGAAAGAAAGCTGTGCTGAAGTCAAGCGAGTGGAGCTCGTAGTCACGCTGTGTTGCAACGTGCAATAACACCCGAAGAGCGGTCACCTTCAGGGTGGGGGAGAAGGTCTGGAAGAAGTCGACCCCCTGTCGCTGACTGAAGCCTCATGCAGCGTAAAGCACATTGAAGACAGGTGGAGAACCCGGCGGCCGCCTCACCCTGAAAATCTACATGCCATCGACTATGTTCGCCCCGGGTGGGGAAACTGCATCGACGTAGGTGCCTGTGGACTTCCAGGAAGTCATCTCTGCGTCCATGTCTATCTGCCACTAAGAGGAGTAAGGATCCGGGATGTCTAGTGCATCCGGATCTCCTTCAGGGGTAAGTCGCATGGCAGCGAGATGAGGTACAGCAGTCGCAAGACACTCGAGCTCAAACTTCCTGTCCTCAAGGACGTCTGTGCCAAGGGCACAATCACCCCCGACGGAAGGAGGATAGTCAGACTCAGACTTAGTGACAAGATTCGCAAAGTAGTCGAGACGACACGCTCAGCAAAGTCAATAAGCTCATTGACTAAGGCAGACGCAGCAGCAGACTCAAAAGTAGGGTTAGTAACAATTGTAGCTAGAACACGCATGGCAATAGGACTAACTGCACGAGCAAGTTCAGAGTCAGGGTTAGGAACGTCAGGAAGGGAGGACTCAGGAGGAGACGGTAGAGAAATACCTTGTGGGACAGAGGAAGGACAAAGTGTCATAGTGTGAGTGCCGGGGACTGGTGGAGGACGAGGACGAGGACGAGGAATACGACGAGCACGACGAACAGTGCGAACAGGCGAGGCAGGACAAGACGCAGGCTTACGACGCTCGGGAGTCTGGCTGCAGAATCATAGAGCTCTTTGGCGGTCTTAAGTTGGTCAGAATGGGTCCTTTCGTCTAGCGGGAGGTGGTTGAGGACAGCAAGGCGAGCGGTAGCATCACGCGTAAAGCACTGCGAATGAGCTATACGGCTAACTGAGACCTCTGGATCGAGTAAGGACCTGGACGTATGCTCGAACGGTGAGACATTATCCCTAGATTCGCTCTTCAGGTAAAGTTGAAGATCCTCGAGCCAGATGTCAAACTTAATCGGGCGACCTTTTGCGTCGAATGTAAGGACTGTAATGGTAGCCATGGTAGGCAGTAGCGGCAGTAGCAGGAGCAGTAGCAGTAGCAGTAGCAGTAGCAGTAGCAGCAGAAGCAGTCGGAGGAGCGGCAGCAAAGGCAACTCGGCTAGGCGGCTAAGTAGAGCGGCTCAGCAGGGCGGTGCGGCTCGGGCAGGGCGGCGCGGCTCGGGCAGGGCGGCGCGGCTCGGGCAGGGCGGCGCGGCTTGGCAGGGCAGCGCGACTTAGGAAGGGTAGGGCGGCACGGCACGGGCAGCAGCAGTGGCTTAGTAGCAGCTGCAGCGCAGGCAGGGCACGCGCAGGTGGCAGGGCGTGGGCAGGGCTGCGTAGGGCGCAGGGCTGCTCAGGGCGCAAGCAGAGTGCGCGCAGGGCGCGGGCATGGCTTCACAGGGCGAGGGCAGGGCTGCACAGGGCGCGGGCAGCGTGCGCAGGGCAGTGTGCGGGTCGTGCAAGCCGCGCGAAGGCACGGCGCGGGCAGTTTTGGGCAGCGCGCAGGCAGTGCGCGGGCAGCATAGGCCGCGCGCGAGACGAGCGCGCGTAGGGCGCAGGCAGCACGTGTGCGGGCAGCGCGAACGGGGCACGAGCGTGCGTGCAGGCGGTGCTAGCAGGGCGGGTATAGGGAAGGGCGGGGCGGATGCGCTAGGCAGGGCGGCGCTAGCAGGCTGCCGGTTGCGATTTTGGTAGGGCGGGGCAGAACGAACGGGCAGGAAAGAGACGAATGGTGGGCCCAAAAAAAAAAAAAAGGTCCTACAGCGGGACCTGCTTGAATACCATGCTAAGATAAGGACTAACTAGTAGCTATGGCCGAAAGAGTAGAGAGGAAGGATGCATTGATGAGATGGTCGAGAGGTACAAGATGGAAACCTAAAACTACAGTACTGTCTAAGGAGTGCCCCATTACAGCCTATCATAGCTAAAGTCTTGTATAGATATGCCATCTGACATCTCCCTTCCTCCTTTCCCCTTTGCATCCGTGCCTCCCTCCCTTCCCTGCAGCCTCCTTCCCCACTCATTCTCCCTCCTACTGTTCCCCCAGCCTCACATACTCTCATCCTCACATACTCTCATTCTCACATACTCTCATCCTCACCTCTCATCCCCACCTGCTCTCATCCTCACATACTCTCATCCTCACATGCTCTCATCCTCACATGCTCTCATCCTCACATACTCTCATCCTCACATGCTCTCATCCTCACATGCTCTCATCCTCACATATCTCATCCGCACATGCTCTCATCCTCACATACTCTCATCCTCACATGCTCTCATCCTCACACACTCTCATCCTCACATGCTCTCATCCTCCCGTGCTCTCATCCTCTATCATGAGCCATTCACGCCTTCCTCTTTCCATACTCTCTCTTCCTCTTCCTCTCTTCCTCCCTTCATACCGGTTCAACCCGTCCACCCTTCCACCCTGCCATTCTTTTACCCTTATTCGTCTGTCAGAGGTTCCCCTCGCGTCAACCCATACCTCCCATCTTCGTTCAACCTGCTGCTTCAAGCTCTAACTCCAGCCCCTAAATTCGTTTTGGACCAAGCCGATCCACCAGCCTTGGTATAGAAGAATGATTCTGATAACCAGCGTCACCTAAGAAAAGAGCATTGAGAACTCAGCATTGGTACGAAGTGAAACGTTGATGGAGTGGAGATAACCAGGTGGGTTGGGAAAGGGGCGAGAGAGGCAGGTGGGCTGGGGAGAGGGGCGAGACGAGGAGAACCGGGAGAAAGTGATGGGCTGGGGGGAGAGTGAGATGAGAAGAAGAGGTGGGCTCAGTGGGGGATTAGGAAGAGCAGGCACAGAGGGCGGGAGTCCGGTAGATCACTTTTTGCCGATTCAGGATAAGGTGAGGGTCCCACCTGCCATCACACACATAACACTTCCTCTTCATGTACCTAGTATCGCCATATGAAGCTACAGGACTATTTCAAAGAAGGGGATACAGAGCAGTGAGAGAGGAGGGCCGTGACACCGTGGCTCCTGTGAAGTGTGAAGGTGGGGGGGATTAGCCTAAGAGAATATACTAGAAATGGTGTGCCAATGCACTCCACCGTTGCACATAGCACATGCATCGCTGCGTCAAGCTATAGCACTATTTCAAATAAGGGGCATGCATGGCAGTGTGCAAGAAGGGCTGTGACGCCATGGCTCCTGTGGAGTGTGAAGGAGGGCAGCGCAGGGCAGCCCACAGCATGCTGCCACGTCACCTCCTGCAGCCGCGCTGCCAGATGCTCCAAAGTCACCTGCACAGCGGGGCGTGGGCAGGTATGAGGGCATGGGTGTGGGGAGAGGGAGCAGGGGTAATTGCTGGCAATGAATGGCACCTCCTGCAGCCGCGCTGCCAGACGCTCCAGAGTCACCTGCACAGCGGGGTGTGGGCAGTGGGACATGCAGGAGTGAAAGAGGCGGCTGGCACATTTGGTTGCACATGCTGCCATGTCCCCCCCCTACTGCAACCACTTCAAGAAGTGGGCAGAGGGAGCGGGGGTCATTGCTGGCTGTGGATGGCACCTCCTGCAGCCGCGCTGTGAGGTGCTCCAGAGTCACCGTAGGGGTGCAGGCGGGTGAGGGATGTGCGAATGAGAGAGGTGGCACGCACATGTAAGGGCACATGCTGCTATGCGCCTTACTGCAACTGCTCCTGTGATTGAATGCTTTGTCGAGCAGTCAAAGGAGAAGTGAGTGTTGGCAATAGCACGCTGAGGGTGTGAGTGTGACAGATCAGGCAATGAGGTTGACAAAAGGGAGGAGAGCGTGAAAATGGAAGAGCGGTGCAAAAGGGTGGGAAGGCGCAGATGGGAGGAACGTTCAGAGCACAGAGAAGCAGCAGCACACGTGGTCGTGGTGAACGTTAGAGAAGGGAGGAAACATGCGAATGACAGAGCAGCACAGAGAAGCAGCAGCATACGTGGTCGTGGTGTGTGTGGAGAGAGAAATGGCCACAGGAGCACTCAATGGTGGCGCCGTGCATGTGCAGCGGACGGGCCTTGCACAGCGGGCAGATCACCATTGCCTCCTGCAAACACAGCGGCAATGCAGAGAGATACACGAGCACATAAATAAGGAAGGTAAGACCTGGAAGAAGACAGCCTTGAAGCGGGTGAGAGGAGGGGCGGCGACAAGGGCGTGACAGAAAGAATGTTGTGGCACAGCGACAGAGAAAGAATCCTTGGTGTTCCATGGCACGCCTAACGACAGCAGAGAAAGTGCATCGCAGCAAGAAAACTCATGGCAGCAAGAAAACTCGTGGCAGCAAGAAAACTCATGGCAGCAAGAAAACTCATGGCAGCAAGAAAACTCATGGCAGCAAGAAAACTCATGGCAGCAAGAAAACTCATGGCAGCAGAGAGGCACAGCCATGCCGGGTTGCGGGCCAGTGTGTAGAGCGAGAGCACCTGGTGATAAGCGAGAGCACCTGGTGATAAGCGAGAGCACCTGGTGATAAGCGAGAGCACCTGGTGATAAGCGAGAGCACCTGCTGATAAGCGAGAGCACCTGCTGATAAGCGAGAGCACCTGCTGATAAGCGAGAGCACCTGCTGATAAGCGAGAGCACCTGCTGATAAGCGAGAGCACCTGCTGATAAGCGAGAGTACATGCTGATAAGCAAGATTACCTGCTGATAAGCGAGAGTACCTGCTGATAAGCGAGAGTACCAGCTGATAAGCGGGTGTATTTGTTGATAAGTCAGGCATGTACCTGCTGATAAGCGAGAGTATCTGCTGATAAGCGAAGCATGTACCTGCTGATAAGCGAGAGTACCAGCTGATAAGCGGGCGTATCTGTTGATAAGCGAAGCGAGTACCTGCTGATAAGCGAGCGCGGCCATGATCTCTTCATCCTCCATGCCCTGCTGGTACGCCTCCTCCTCCTCCATGCTCCGATGGCCTGATGCTCACATGGGTGGGAGTGGCGGGCAGATGAGTGAGAGTGGTGAAGAAATGGGTGAGAGAGTGGAGAGGAGGGAGGCGAGATAAGGAGTGAGACTTGGGTGATTGCCACTCTCACCTTCACAGCCCAGACACACCTTACACTCGCTAAGATGCATCACAATGCCTGTGCGGTGCGCCCCCACAGAACATACCCGTCATGCCGTACAAACACACATGCAGCACCCGTGCAAAGACGAGAGGCCTGCACCCATCCCATTCCAGCGATAGCATCCATCTGCTGCACACATGATGTTCACACACGCATCCCATGGCAATGCCACAGACCTTACTCCTGTCTGGTCCAGACCAAAGCACGTGCCCACACGCCACGTGCCCACACGACACGTGCCCACACATCAGCTCACACATCCCCATCATCACCCCCATTATCATCCCCATCACCATCCTCATACAACGCTCTCTGCGTGGCCAGCAGCAGCACACCAAGTCAACACGCACCACCACATACCTGACGGCACTGGTGCCTCCAAGTGCCCATCCTCCTTCTCATAGAGCGCTCTCTGCATGTCCAGCAGCAGCGCCTCGTACTCCTCTGCACTCAGCTGCAACACCCCGTCCGCATCCCCCCACCGCCCTGCTGCCTCCTCGTCGCTGTCCCACTCGCCTCGTCCCCTCGCCCCGCCTCCAATCTCCCGTGCCCCGTCGCCCCCACCGTGCATCGGGTCACACGAGGACCATTCATGCTCCCACGCCCGCACTTTGTGCTCGCCCCTACCTGCCATCGCATTATGCAACTCCATTTCCTGCTCCAGCGAACTGGCGGGCCCCATGCCACCACCACCACCATCACTGCTGACATCATCGCATCCATTCCGCAGCCGCTGCAGCTCCCCAAACAGCACTCTCCGCAGCTCTGGCCGCGCCCCTCGCCCCTCCGCGCCCATGCCGTGCGCCAACTCCAACCGCGCCCCCCTCGACCCCTCACCCCGCTCAGCAGAAACGCTGCCATAGCCTGCCGCCCCTGCCACCGCTCTCCCACACTCCTCCGCGCCCTCCCCCTCCCCGCGCCCCCCCATCGCCACGCCTTCCATCCGATCGTCCCCCCGCGCGCCCCCATCACGCTCACCCTCCCCGTCGCGCTCACCGCCCTCGCTGCCCACTCGCGCGCCCCCCTGCCAGCACACCCCCCCTCGAGCCGTCTCCTCACGCTGCTCTGCGCCCAGGCACGCGAGTGCTGCTGACGTGGCTGGGTGCGAGTGGCCGGAGAGGAGAGGGTGGAGGGCGGCGAGGGAAGAGGGCGAGGGGGTGGAGGAGACGGTTGGCTGGGAGAGCGACGAGGGCGAGTGGGAGTGAGAGAGGGAGTGAGAATGCGAGGAGGAGGTTGAGGAGAGCAATAATGGTTTGGAGAGCGAGAGGGAGCTCCGGGACAGCGGGGAGTGGATTGCGGAATGTGAAGCGAGGGGCGCGTGCGCGGAGGCGGAGGGGGGAGTAGACGCGCGCATGTCCCAGAGCAGACGGTCGCGATTAGCCCGCACGCGGTGAAGACACATGACGCGCAGCTGCGGGGGTGGCCCGGGGAAGTGGGGTGAGTGAAGGGGAGTGAGAAAAGATGGGCGGAGATGAGGTGTGGCACGGTAGGTGGGCGGAGATGAGGGGCGGCACGGTAGATGGGCGGAGATGAGGGGTGGCACGGTAGGTGGTTGATAGGGTCAGTGCGCAGAGGAGAGGATTCGCATCGCTTCTGAAAATTTTAAGAAAAAAAAAAAAACGATGTGCCCAGTGGGCAAGAACGCGCGATAATTGGCTAAGCAATGTCTGAATGGTGCGGGACAGCTCGCGCGGCATACGTGATGCGAATCCACAGGGGAAGAGAAATAAGATGAAAAAGAAATAATGAAAGAAAAAAACAATGCTGGCTCGAAAATGGATAATAGCGAAAGACGGACGACAATAAACGGACCTTCTCTTTCATGTGTGACCGCAGAGGTCCCTTGATCGGTGTTCTCTCCATGCCGCTGAGCTAGCAAGGCTATCCGCGGAGTCAATTCAGTCGGCCTTTGATCACGACCCAGCTGCGCACCCTCGCAGACACTGTGAAAGCAATGTCGAAACGACAGCGAAGCACGAGCGACGAACGCTTCCTACACTTGAAACGAGCTCTGGACTTGCTACTAACTACTTCCGCCTTTCCGCCCGTTTATTTACACAATTTGGAGTGAGTAGCGACCTACCAATCGTTACCTCTCTTCGGAATCCATGAGTTTCAATATTATCAGCTCATGTGCTCAAACCTATTTGCATGGCGTAGCGTGGTTCTCCATGCGGAAGATCATGGTGCTCGTGTATCCCAGCAGGCTCCACTAGAGTCGATGCAGAAAGTGGCTTCATGGTGAAGCTGGTGGCGAATTCAAACTTCGAAACCAAACGAGCTTCATTCTGCCATGTCGCTCGTCATATAATTAGGGCGTAATTCTAAGCTCGTGTCATCCAAGCTTCGTGTCATCCTGATTTTTTTTCCGAACCGCGGGTTTTCCGATTCGACTTCTGGTCATCCGATTCGGCGTGTCACAAAAATCGCACGGTAGATGCGCGAAACCACTTTCGCCCCAGCAGAGAACATTGTTCATCGCACGTACGACCGACTCGACACAGCGGCCAATTTGGCCGTCAGATCGCGCACTCGAACGCAGCCCCTCATGCACGAATAGCCTACACAACCGAGCCACACCTTGCAAGTCTAGAATCTTGATTCTCTCGGTGGAAAATTTCCACCTTTCAAGCCAGTTTGGATGCTAGCTATAAAAATAGTCTAGCAAGTAGTACCAAAACATAGACTTCAGAAGTTATTCCTTCTTGTCAAAATGCTATCTCCTCAGCATCTAACCATCCTAGCCTGTGTTATTCAGCTCTGGCACACTTATTACTATGACAGTTTCATGCCTGCAGCAGCAGCTGCAGCTCAGTCATGGCTGTCACTGGTGGAGGAAGAATGTGCAGGCGACGACGAAACTGCTGACCGTCGCATTGAGAGGCTCCGCCTTCGCAAACGCCGGCGTCAGGACCGCATGGCAGAATGGATCTCCGACATCAACATCATGTCAGATGTCAAACATACTTGTATGCAGGCCCTCATATATCAGCGTAAAACACGCTGATTACGCTGGTTTTGTAGCTCATATTTTCGTTTTCCCTGGAAATTCAGCATATGCTTCAATTTTGCACTGAAATTTCAGTATAACCTATTTTGTCACACTGACCATTTTGCATGTCACTGTACAAGTAACACTGACGAATCAGTATAGTGTACCGAGTCACACTGATTCGGACATGATAGGGTATCGGTGTACAAGGGGTGTTCAGATCAGGATTCCCGCAAAAAGGATTCGCGCTAAAAGAATTCCCGCAAAAAGAATTCCCAGCCCTCTCAGATAGGCCTAGTCTACGAGAATCGAACCCGAATTCTTCACGATGTCTAGACGTAACCCAAACAACTACGCCAGCAACAATGTTTTTTACACTGTAAATTTAGTTTCTTTTAAAACTTTACACTAAAAAATCAGCATGAATTTTACCCCCAAAGCTGATTTGGACACCACTTCGGACACTACACACTGATCTATTAGCATACCCTGAAACCAATCTGAGGGACTGCTTGTATGATTATAATTGGGTTGGCTATAGTGGGGTTAGCCTTAGAGGGTACAAAAAAACAACCTCGATACTCTAGTCTTGTACCCTAACCTCTACCTAATCCACTCACTCTTGCCTTAGTTCTTAACATGGTAACTAGAGCAGGAGGTCTCTAGGACCTAAGAATCGGGCCCACCTAACTGCTTGCCTTGCCTACTGCCCGCGCGCGCCTTGGCTGCAGCGCGCATCACTTTTTTTTTTTTTTTTTTTTTTTTTTTTTTTTTTTTTTTTTCGCGCGCGCCTCGCCTACTAGCGCGCGCGCCACTGCTGTTGCGCCGCGTGCCAGCCTGCGTCGCCCGCGCAGCCCGTGTAGCCCGACGCCGCACGCAGCCCGCCGTCGCCCCGCGCGCCGTGTCTGTCGCGAGCGCGGCCCGCCGCTGCGTCGCACGTTGCGTCGGCCGCCTGCGCGGCCCGCAGCTGCTTAGCGCGCTGCCTTAGGAGCTCGCGTGCGGCCGCTCCTGCCTGCTGTCTCCTGCCTGCTGCCTGCTGTCTCCTGCATGCTGCCTGCTACCTCGGTCTTTGCTTGTGGCCTAGTGCCTGCTGCCTCTTGTCTGCTGCCTCCTGACTCTGCCTGCTGCCATTATGACGACGCCTAACGTTCTCGCGTTCGAGCCTGACGGTCGCCCCATAGAGTTCACTGTGTGGTTAGATGATCTCCAACAGTTCCTTCTGACCGATGCCAAAGAGGGCCTTTCACTGTTCGATTACGTGTCTGGCACTGCCTTTGCTCCTGCTCTCGAACGCTCGCAATGGCAAGCTCATGATGCTGCTACACGCCTAGCTATTAAGAACCATCTGCCGATTACTAAGCGCGCGCATTTCAGCCAGCACAAAACTTCTAAGAAGCTGTACGACGCCGTAGTTGCGCGCTACTCTTCCCCGGCCACTACACCCATAGGTCGGCTCATGCTACCCTACCTGTTCCCCGACCTTTCCTCGTTCACCACTGCTGTGTACCTCATTTCCCACCTGCGCGCTACCGACATTCGCTTTCGTGCCGCCCTTTCAGCCGAGTTCTGCGCCGCTAAACCCCCCCCCCCCCCCCCCCCCACCGATGTACTTCACTCTCTATTTCCTCGTCACCCGCCTCCCTGGCGCTCTTAGCTCAGTTAGGGACCACTTCCTCGCGCTAGACCCCCCCACTCTCACTGTCGACGACTTCGAGAAGCACCTCCTCGCAGCAGAAAAGAACATCCTCGCTGTAGGTGCTGCTCGTGGCACTCCTCGCTCTCCCCTCTTTGAGCAGTGCTCCCCCTCCCCTCTCACCCCCTCCTACGCCTCCGCAGCTGCTGCTCACGACTACCTTGGTGCTGAGGAGGTCGGAGCTGCTTCCGCTCCTAGTGGGAAGCGTCGCAGCGGCAGGGGCGGCAGGGGCGGTGGGGGTGGCAGTGGAGGTGGCAGTAGTGCAGGCGGCGGGGGAGGTGGAGGTGGTAGGGGTGGTCGTGGGAGTGGAGGCGGTGGAGGTGGTGGTGGGGGCGACGGAGGCACTTGGAGCGGTGGAGGGGGTAGCAGCGGCGGTGGGGGAGGAGGGAGCGGTGGTGGTAGTGGTGGTCAGGGCCAGCAGCAGCCGCAGCAGCAGCAGCAGCAGCGCCAGACCCCCACTTCCCAGCAGCTTCTTGACTGGTATGCCGTGCGTGGGGCTTCTGGGGGTCCTTGTCGCTGCCCCTATATCATTCGCACAGGTCCCCGCACTGGTCGCCAGTGCACAGGTTATCACACTTAGCAGCGCTGCTTCGCTCGACTTAGCGACGCCTGGCGCGCCAAGTTTCCTGATGCTCTTGAGTTCCCCAACTAGGCACAGCTACTTAGGCGTGATGTACATATCTTTGATCTTGACTATGAGGCTATTCTTGCTGCTATGTATGCATTGTCTATTAGTGCTGAGGGTGACTTCTACTTGTGTGTGCCGCCGGATCCTGGTATACTCCCTGGTATAGCGCCTGCAGCACTAGGTGCTTGTGAGTCTGCTCCCCCTAGTACTACGCCTGCACAGGCCATGCACACTTTTACACTTGACTCTGGAGCTTCCCGCTGTTTCTTTCGCGACAGTATCAGAGTCACTCCCCTTCTTGCACCTGTTCCTGTCTCACTGGCTGACCCCTCTAGGGGCCCGGTACTTGCACGGTCTTCCACCGTGCTTACGTGTCCGGCGGTCCCGTCTGGTGAGCTGTCTGGTCTCCACCACCGTGCTACGCTGTCCTCCAGGATGCGGGGGTTGGCACCTTCACCCCTCGCCGGCAGCGTGTGGCTATTTGCACGTGCTCCGAGACCGGCCGCCACTTGGCCACGTTCACTCGTGCGCCAAGGTCCAGTCTGTACACCCTCACCACTGCGTCACGCTCCGCCCCTTTGTCTCCCCAGTTACACGCGTCTGCTTAGGTAGCTACCCAGTGTGAGTGTCGCCGGCTATTGCACGACGCTCTCCTGTGGCACCACCGCCTTGGTCACCCCTCCCTGCCTCGCGCCTGCGTGGCATGCACTCTCGCTTCTTGGTCTCTGGTCTTCCCAGGTCTTTGCCTGCCCTCCCTCCCTCACCTGCGCCGCCCTGTATTCCTTGCGTCGAGGGGCGGCAGCGCGCCGCTCTTCACTCCTCCTCGTTCCCTCCCACGGAGGCTCCCCTGTAGACTCTCCACCTGGACGTGTGGGGCCCAGCCCGCGTCCGTGGACAGGTCAACGAGCGGTACTTCCTGCTGGTTGTCGACGACTACACGCGTTACACCACGGTCTTCCCCTTGCAGCGCAAGAGGGATGTCCCTGAAGTTTTGATCCCCTGGATCCGCGCTGCTCGTCTCAAGCTCCGCGAGCGGATCCAGTCGGACTTTCCTATCCTGCGTCTGCACTCTGAGAGAGGTGGTGAGTTTTCCTCAGACCTCTTGGCGGCCTTCTGTGCGGAGCACGGCATCCGTCAGACTTTCACGCTTCCGGCCTCTCCGGAGCAGAATGGGGTTGCTGAGTGCCGCATTGGCTTGGTCATGGAGGTGGCTCGTACCTCCATGATCCATGCGGCTGCCCCTCATTTTCTGTGGCCGTTAGCGGTCCGGTACGCCGCGCATCAGCTCAACCTCTGGCCCCGTGTCTCCTTGCCGGGGACCTTGCCCACACAGCTGTGGACGGGGAAGGTTGGTGACGCGTCGCGTTTCCGGGTCTGGGGTGCCCGTGCCTTTGTCCGCGATACCACTGCGGACAAACTCTCCCCTCGCGCCATTCCTTGCGTCTTCCTTGGTTTTGTCCCTGACGCGCCTGGCTGGCAGTTTTACGGCCCCGCCTCGCGCCGTGTCTTTGCGTCTCAGGACGTCACCTTTAACGAGTCGGTCCCCTTTTACCGCCTCTTCCCCTACCGCACTGCTCCTCGCCCCCTCCCGCCGCTCTTTCTCGCCCAAGGTCCTCCCCACGTAGACCCCCTCCTTGTGCCAGACCCTGCTCTTTCAGGTGTTTCTCAGGTAGACCCTCTCGTCCCTGCGCCTGTTGAGGTCACTGGTGACTCCGGTTCTGTTGGGAGTGGTGCTGTCCCTGGGGGTGCGGAGCTTCGGGGTGCGCAGCGTGGGGGTGCTGAGTGTGAGGAGCCTGAGGGTGCGGAGCCTGGAAGTGTTGAGCCTGCACGTGAGGAGCCTGGAGGTCCTGAGCCTGGGGGTGCTGCGTTTGGGGGTACTGCGCCTCCGTGTGCGGAGCTTGGGGGTGCTGGGTCTGGGGGTGAGTCGCCTCAGGGTTCCGAGACTGCTGTTACGCGGTCTCCTTGGAGTAGCCGTCTTCGTCCGCATATGCCTCTCACCCCCCAGCAATTGCACGATTGGTACGGTCGCCATTAGCGTCTCGCTTCTGCACCTTAGGGCTCTACTGCTGGGGGTTCTTCTGCTGGCTTCACTGGAGCTGGGAGTGGTGTGAAGAAATGAGGAATGCATGAACTAGCAATCATGTGGGTACAAGTAGGAAAACCTAAAAGTGTTGTACCCCACATTGTCTACCCCACTACAGCCTACAGAGACTATAGAATATGAGTTTAACACACCCCCATAGGCAAAGTGGGGAAGAACAAGAGGTCACAAGACCAGTCAAGCAAAGCAAAACAAGCTCAGGGTGGATCACAACGTCACCACACATTCCGAGCACAAGTTCAAGGCTAGAAGGCCAGTTCACATGCAAGATCATATATATTGGTAAACAAGCAAGTGCAGGTATAGAAAGATCACACTACAAGCAAGGTCAAGAAGTGAGCAAGTGAGGCCAAGTAGGCACAAGACCTAGAATCGTACAGAAGCGCTGATGATCACAATAAGTAAGTGCCTTGGTAAAGATATCAGCAGTGTTGGCCTCAGAGGCCACGTAAGCAAGGCGCAGCTGACCACGCTGCTGCAGCTCAGGAGCAAGGAAGTAGCGAAGAGCAATGCGCTTCGTTCTGTGCTCCAGTCCGTGCTCCCGACACAAAGCCAGCATGGCCTTGTTGTCTACGTACAGAACTGGAGGAGAACGAGGCGGCTCTCCTAGGTCAGTCAGCAGGTAGGTGAGCCAGCGTAGCTCCTGTGCAGCCATAGCCCCCGCGTAGATCTCAGCCTCACAGCTGGAGCTGAGAACAGAAGACGAGCGGGTAGACCGCCACAAAACAGAGCCGGAACCAAGGCTGAAGGTGTAACCCTGTGACGACCGCTGCGTAGCTTGGTCGTCAGCCCAAGAAGCGTCTGCGTGACCTGTGAGGACCACTCGACGTCGCCCTCCAAACACTAGCCCCATGCCCAACGCACTGCACAAGTAGCGCAACACCCTCTTCGCTGCAGCCATGTGCTCTGGTCGGTGCCTCCCAGGGGCAACATAGCGTGCCAAGATGCTAAGAGGGTATGCAAGGTCAGGTTGTGTGCAGGTCATCAGGTACATGAGGCAGCCAACAAGCTCGAGGTACGGGCCACTCCGCTCTACGGACTCATCCGAAGGCAGTGTCAGAACATTATAGATTATACATTTTTGTAGGCTGTAGTGTGGTAGCCCATATGGGGTACAACCCAATTAGGGTTAGTACTTGTACCCAACTCTTTCATAGTTGATTCATCCATTCTCACTTCTCGTCATGGTATTGAGCAGGTTCCCGAGTGGGAATACTGCTTAGGGCCCACCACGTACTTTTTCCTTCTCTGCCCGTAGCGCGCTTACCTCCTAACCCGAGTAGCGCCCCGAGACGCCTTAGTGGCCCCCCTTTTGGCCGCCCTAACTGCCCCTCGAGCCGCCCGCAACTGCCCCGCTACGGTCCCGTCGGCCCCGTTACGGCCCCGCTTTGGCCCCGCTACGGCCCCGTCGGCCACGCTTAGGCCCCGCTACGGCCTCACTACGGCCCCGTCGGCCCCGCTTAGGCCCCGTCGGCCCCGCTTCGGCCCCGTCGGCCCCGCTTCGGCCTCACTACGGCCACCACTACGGCCCCGCTTAGGCCCCGTCGGCCCCGCTTAGGCCCCGTCAGCCCCACTTCGGCCCCGCTACGACCCCGCTACGGCCCCGCTACGGCCCCGCTTAGGCCCCGTCGGCCCCGCTACGGCCTCGCTACGGCCCCGCTACGGCCCCGCCGGCCCCGCTTAGGCCCCGCTACGGCCTCGCTACGGCCCCGCTACGGCCCCGTCGGCCCCGCTTAGGCCCCGTCCGCCCCACTACGGCCCCACTACGGCCCCACTTAGGCCTCGTCGGCCCCGCTACAGCCCCGTCGGCCCCGCTTAGGCCCCCCTACGGCCCCGTGGGCCCCGCTACGGCCCCGCTAAGGCCCCGTCGGCCCCACTTCAGCCCCGCTACGGCCCCGCTACGGCCCCTTCGGCCCCGTCGGCCCCGCTACGGCCCCACTTCGGCCCCGTCACCCACTTCGGCACCGTCACCAACGCGGCCGCCGCCCTGCCGCCGAGCCGCCCTGCAGCCGAGCCGCCCAGCAGCCGAGCCGCCCAGCAGCCGAGCCGCCCTGCAGCCGAGCCGCATAGTAGCCGAGCCGCCCAGCAGCCGAGCCGCCCTGCAGCCAAGCCGCCCAGCAGCCGAGCCGCCTAGCAGCCGAGCCGCCTAGCAGCCGAGCCGCCCTGCAGCCGAGCCGCCCGACAGCCGAGCGGCTGAGCACTACGATCGCCCCACCTGCCTGGTAAGAGCCCAGTCTCTGCCACTGCAGTGCCCTGCCTCACTGCCCTCAGTGCCTGCCTACTGCTGTTATGGCTTCCCCTAGCGTTCTCACCTTTGACGCTAAGGGTCGGGCGGTGGACTTTGAGGTCTGGGTAGATGATCTGCAGCTTTTTCTGCAGTGCGATAGGGTTGACGGCCTCTCCCTGTTTGACCTCACTTATGGTGCCTCCCCTGCCCCTGCTGCTGATGCTGACGCCACCATTCGCTCACAGTGGGCCACACGTGATGCTGCTGCTCGCCTTGCTGTTCGCCGCCACTTACCGACCACTGAGCGTGCACACTTTAGCCAGTACAAGAGTGCTCAGACCTTGTACGACGCTGTAGTTGCACGCTACTCTTCCACTGCCACTGCTGCACTGAGCCGCCTCATGCTACCGTTCCTCTTCCCTGACCTTGCGGCCTTTCCCACTGTCGCTGACCTCATTACGCACCTCCGCACTCTTGACACTCGCTACCGCGCTGCGCTTCCTACTGAGTTCTGCGCTAAGAACCCCCCCCCCCCCATGTACATCACCCTCTACTACATAGTCAACCGGATCCCTGACTCTCTTCCCGTAGTCAGGGACCACTTCCTCTCTGTTTGCCCCACCACTCTCACTGTTGACCTCCTCGAGAAGGCCCTACTAGCGATAGAGAAGAGCATAGTCACTGTAGGAGCCTCTTGTGGTGACCCTCGCACCCCCATCTTTGAGGGGTGTTCTCCCTCCCCCCTCTTGCCCTATGTCGCCTCTGCTGCTGCGGCCGACCTCGTTGGTTTCGAGTCGGTTGGCGCTGCGTCTGCCCCGAGCGGGAGACGCCGCACCGGCAAGGGCAAGGGGTGAGAAAATTGAAACGAGAATGAATGAACTATGAATGAAGAGGGTACAAGTACTAACCCTAATTGGGTTGTACCCCCTATGGGATACCCCACTACAGCCTACACGAAAGCATAAGCTATAATATTCTGACACACCCCCATAGGCAAAGTGGGGGAGAACAGGGGGTCACAAGACCAGTCAAGCAAAGCACAACAAAGCAAAGCTCAGGGTGGATCACAAAGTCACCACATATTCCGAGCACAAGTACAAGGCCACAAAGCCAGTTCACATGCAGGAGTACATATATATATAAGGCTAGACAAGCAAGAGCAGGTAAATATATATGTAACTGTACAAGCAAGGTCAAGAGGTGAGCAAGTGAGGCAAGACACGGACAAGACCCAACTGAGTGCAGAAGCGCTGATGATCACAAGGCGGAAGTGCCTTGGTGAAAACATCAGCAGTGTTGGCCTTAGAGGCCATGTACGCAAGCCGCAACTGTCCACGCTGCTGTAGCTCACAAGCAAGAAAGTAGCGGAGAGCAATGTGCTTTGTTCTATGATCCACTCACTGCTCTCGACACAAGGCCAGCATGGCCTTGTTGTCTACGTACAGCACTGGAGGAGAACGAGGCGGCTCTCCGAGGTCAGTCAGCAGGTAGGTGAGCCAGCGAAGCTCCTGTGCAGCCATGCCCCCAGCGTAGATCTCAGCCTCACAACTGGAGCCGAGAACAGAAGACGAGCGAGTAGCCCGCCATGAGACAGAGCCGGAACCAAGGCAGAAGGTGTAACCCTGTGACGACCGCTGCGTAGCCTGGTCGTCAGCCCAAGAACCGTCTGCGTGCCCAGTAAGGACCACTCGACTGCGTCCTCCAAGCACTAGCCCCATGCCCGACATACAGCACAAGTAGCGCAACACCCTCTTCGCTGCAGCCATGTGCTCTGGTCCGTGTCTCCCAGGAGCAACATAGCGTGCGAGAATGCTAAGAGGGTATGCAAGGTCAGGTCGTGTGCAGATCATCAGGTACATGAGGCAGCCAACAAGCTCTCGGTACGGGCCACTCGACTCTACGGACTCATCCGAAGGCAGAGCGGAGAGCGAGTGGCGAGTAGGCAGAGGAGTGGCCTGAGGCGAGGAGTACGTGAAGCCGAAGCGCTGAAGGACCTGCTGCACCATGTGTGACTGAGTCAGGGTAATGGTGCGGCGTGCTCTGTCCCGGGTGATCTGCAAGCCAAGGTAGCTGCGCAGTTCACCCAGGTCTGTGCACGTGTGTCTCTTCTGCAGCTCGGACTTCACGCAGTAGGGCCCTAGAAACAGTTCCCACGAGGGAACCTGCTCGATACCATGAGAAAACTGAAACGAGAATGAATGAACTATGAATGAAGTGGGTACAAGTACTAACCCTAATTGGGTTGTACCCCCTATGGGATACCCCACTACAGCCTACACAAAAGCATAAGCTATAATGTTATGACAAGGGGGGCAAGGGCACTGGAGGGGGTGGAGGGGGCGGTGGAGGTGGTGGTGGAGGCGGTGGAGGGAGTGGGGGTGGTGGTGGGAGTGGTGCCGGGGGTGGTGGCGGCGGTGTCAGAATATTAGGCTCTAGCCTGTAGTGGGGTGCTCTATAGCGAGTACAACCCTTTTAGGGTTTGCTATTTGTATCCTCATTCTTGCTAGTGCAAACCCTCTTTTGCCTAACTCTCTCTTGCCTAGCTAGGTAAACCCTAGCTATGGCTCCTCACTATACCTACTATTTTGAGATGCTATCAGAGCAGTGTCGCTCCTGGCCTGTGGGCCCGCCTGCTTCCGCTGCCCTACTGTCTGTCGCGCGCCCCGTGGCGTGCGATGTACATTTTTTCTTCCCGCCACGCGCTCGGGGCGCGTGGCGGTTTTCTGCCCGCCATGCGCTCGGGACGCGTGGCGGTTTCCGTCAACCCGCGCGCCCGTCCCCGTCGACCTTCGCGCGGCTCCCCCCGTCGCCCTTCGCGGCGGCCCCGTCGACCCGCCCGCGCCTCCCCGTCGCCCTTCGCGGCGGCCCCGTCGACCCGCCCGCGGCTCCCCGTCGACCTTCGTGGCGGCCCCGTCAACCCGCGCGCGGATCCCCGTCGCCCTTCGCGGCGGCCCCGTCGACCCGCGCGCTGCCCCCGGGGACCTATGCGCTCGTCCCCGTCGACCCACGCGTCGCCCCCCCCCCCCCCCCCCCCCCCCCCCCCCCTCCCCGACACACCTGAGTCTGCTTACCGCACACCTGAGTTCGCTTCCCGCACACTTGTGCACGATTCGCGCACACCTGAGGTCGCTTACCGCACACTCAGGGTATGGGGGTGACGGGTATGGGGGTGGCGGGTGTGTGAGACGTCACCTGCTCCTCCTTCTCCTCTGTCTCCCACTGCTGCAGCTGCCGCTGAGGGGGGTGGGTGTGTGGGAGTCGACGGAGTGGTGCTAGGGGGTGGGGTGTGAGTGACCCTAGGGGTGCAGTAGGGGGTGTGTGAAATGGGGGTGGGATAGTTTGGGGAGGTTGAAGGGGGTGGCCGCCGAGAAGCCAGCAGCTCCAGTCGCCCGTGAGACCGTTGCGCCATTCGCCCGTGAGCCCGTTGCGCCAGTCGCCCGTGAGCCCGTTGCTCCAGTCGCCCGTGAGTCCGTTGCTCGTCTGCCGCTACTTTTAGCCGCGGAGCCAGTTACTCCAGTAGCCCGTGTGCCAGTTGCTCCAGTTGCCAGTGTGCCAGTTGCTCCAGTTGCCCGTGTGCCAGTTGCTCCAGTTGCGCCGTGTGCCAGCAGCTTCAGCCGCCGCCCACTACCTCCTCTCCTCTCATAGTCCCTCCTCCTCCACACTAGCCCTCTGCGATAGCCTCTAGCTTTGCTCATAATTGTGAACTTTAAACTATTGCTTCTTGAACTTGTGCTCAGAATGTGTGGTGACATTGTGATCCACCCTGAGCTTGTACTGTTGATTACACCCCACTTTGGCTATGGGGGTGTGTCAGAATATTAGGCTCTAGCCTGTAGTGGGGTGCTCTATAGCGAGTACAACCCTTTTAGGGTTTGCTATTTGTATCCTCATTCTTGCTAGTGCAAACCCTCTTTTGCCTAACTCTCTCTTGCCTAGCTAGGTAAACCCTAGCTATGGCTCCTCACTATACCTACTATTTTGAGAGGCGGCGGCAGCACTGGAGGCGGCGGAGGCGGCAGCAGTGGAGGCGGCGGAGGCGGTGGAGGTGGCGGAGGGAGCGGAGGCGGCGGAGGTAGTGGAGGAGGCAGAGGTGGAGGTGGCGGCGGAGGCGGCGGCGGCGGTGGTGGAGCAAGTCGCGACTCTGCCGCCGAGGAGTGGCTTCGGTGGTGGTCAGCGCCAGCAGCAGCAGCGGAGTGGTGTGACCATGTCCCCTCAGCAGCTTCGTCAGTGGTACACTGCACGCCAACGCGGTGGGGGTTTTAGCCCCTGCTCCTACGTTCTCCGTACCGGCGACCGCACTGATGAGCAGTGAGGAGGTCCGCACTCCACCCAGCGCTGCTTTGGTCGCCTGACGGACGCGTGGCGTCGCCAGTTCCCTGAGGCGTCAGAGATCCCTCGATGGGGAGATCTGGCCAAGGCCGGGGTTGCTATCTTTGATCTTGACTTTGATGCTATTCTTGCTGCCATGTATGCTGTTGCTGATAGTGTTGAGGGTGCCTGTTACCTGTGTGTACCGCATGACCCGGGCATTGAGGCTGCTGCGCTAGGTGCTGGTGACGCTGCTGCTCTAGGTGCTAGTGCGTCTACTTCCTCTGGTGCCAGTGCGTCTGCTGCCCCAGGTGCTGGTGAGTCTGCTCTCTCAGGCCTTCCACACCTTCACCCTGGACTCGGGTGCGTCCCGCTCCTTTCGAGACCGCACCACTCTTACGCCGCTAAGTCGGCCAGTTGCAGTCTCCCTGGCAGACCCCTCCGGGGTTCGTGTCCTTGCTAGCTTCTCCATTGTCCTTCCGTGCCCTGCACCCCCCTCTGGCACCCTGTCTGGTCTCTACCTCCCCTTGTTCTCTATGAACTTGGTGAGTGGAGCGGACCTACAGGATCGAGGACTTGACCAGTTCACTCCTGCAAGTCAGCGAGTGACCCACTGCATGTGTGCTCGGACAGGCCGACACTTGGCCACATTCACTCGTCGGCCAGGGTCGAGCCTGTATACCCTTACTGTTGAGTCTCCTCCTCCTGCTGAGTCTGCCCAGGTAGCTGCGTCGAGTCAGGTGTTTGCTGCGGCGTCAAGGTCTGGTCCTGAGTCTGCCCCCTACTCGTGTCGTCTGCTGTCCCACCAGACTCTCCTTTGGCACCACCGCTTTGGTCACCCCTCCTTGCCTCGTCTCCGAGGCATGGCCTCCCATGTCCTTGTCTCTTGTCTTCCTCGGTCTCTCCCTACCCTTCCTCCCGGGCCTCGCCCTACCTGCGTCCCCTGCGTCGAGGGGCGACAGCGCGCCGCCCCTCACTCCTCCGAGTTTCCTCCAACAGAGGCTCCGCTGCAGACTCTCCACATGGACGTGTGGGGCCCAGCCCGCGTCAGTGGGCAGGGGCGAGAGCGGTACTTTCTGCTGGTCGTTGACGACTACTCGCGTTACACCATAGTCTTCCCCATGCGCAGCAAGGGTGACGTCACTGAGGTGTTGATCGACTGGATCCGCGCAGCTCGTCTCCAGCTCAGAGAGAGTTTCGGCTCCGACTTTCCAGTTCTGCTTCTGCACTTGGACAGAGGCGGGAAGTTTGCCTCTACCCGTCTGAGAGCCTTCTGTCGTGCACAGGGCATCCGCCAAACCTTCACGCTTCCGGACTCTCCACAGAAAAATGGGATTGCTGAGCGCCGCATTGGCCTGGTCATGGACGTCGCTCGTACATCCATGATGCATGCGGCTGCCCCCCATTTTCTGTGGCCGTTTGCTGTTCAGTACGCCGCGCATCAGCTCAACCTTCAGCCCCGGGTCTCCTTGCCAAAGACATCCCCCGCCTTGCGGTGGATAGGGAAGGTTGGCGATGCGTCTGCGTTTCGGGTCTGGGGATCTCGGGCGTTTGTCCGCGACTTGTCTGCAGACAAGCTGTCCCCCCGTGCTGTTCCTTGCGTCTTCCTTGGCTTCCCCCCCGACGCGCCTGGCTGGCGGTTTTACCACCCCACCACGCGCCGTGTTCTGTCCTCCCAGGACGTCACCTTTTACGAGTCGGTGCCTTACTACCGTCTCTTCCCCTACCGCAATGCGCCCCTCCCCCCGCCGCCGCTCTTCCTTGCGCCAGGTGCTACCCAGGTAGACCCCCTCCCTCCTCAGGGTCCTGCCCCTTCAGGTGTGTCCAAAGTAGACGCACTCGAGCTTGTCGAGGTAGCTATTGACTCTGGTGCTGCTAGAGGTGCTGAGCCTGCGGGTGCCGGGTCTGCGGGTGTTAGGTTTGGGGGTGCTGAGTCTGGGAGTGCTGAGACTGGGGGTGCTGAGCCTGGGGGTACTGAGCCTGGGGGTGCGGAGCCTGGGGGTGCTGGGTCTGCTCGTGTGGCCGCCGGCGGTGCTTCGTCGAGGCGTGAGCCGCTCTCTCCACAGGAGCTGCGCGAGTGGTTCGCCCGCCGCTAGAGACGTGTTGTTGAGTCTGGGGGTGCTGCTGGAGCTGCTGTCGGTGCTGGTGCTGCTGGAGGTGGAGCTCTTGGGGGTGTTAGCGCTGGTGTTTCTACTGGTGCTGGTGCGTCTGGGGGTGCTGCTGAGGCAGCTGGTGCTGACGGTCCTACTAGAGTTGGTGCTGCAGGAGCTGGAGCTGCTAGGGGTGTTGGCGCTGGCGGTGCTGCTGGCGCTGGTGCTTCTGAGGGTACTGGAGTTGGTGCTGTTGGAGCTGGAGGTTCTGCTGGCGCTGGTGCTGCTGCTGGGGGTACTGGTGTCGTCCCTGCTGGTTCTGGAGGCGCTGAGCGGCCGAGGCCGTACTTCGTTCCGCTCCTGGAGCAGGTTCTTGGTCTCCCACCCTCTCCTGGTCCCGCTCCTCCCTTAAGGTGTCCGCAGCCTGTCCAGTCGCAGTCAGAGTTACAGCGTGCCTCCCCGCTACCTGCACCTTCTCCCTACACTGGTCCTACTGGAGGTCTTGCTGAGCGTCGTGAGCCTGCGTCTCGTCCTGCGTCGCCTGTTTGTGCTGCTCGCACTAGTCGTCGTGCCACGCGTTCGCGTCCTCCTGCTGTCTCCGGAACACACCAGATGGCACTGCGTCCGTCCACTGCTCCGCAGCGTGTCCCTTTGCCGTCTCCTCCAGAGTCGTCTCTTCCTTCTCTTGCTGACCCGGAGTCTGACTCCCTTCATGCTGCTAGTCCTTCGGACACGCGCCTTCTTGCTACTGTTGTCACTGACCCTACCTTTGAGTCCACTGCTGCGTCTGATCTAGTTGCTGAGCTTGTCGACTTTGCTGCTCGCTCTCGTCTAGACTATGCTGCTAGTCTTGTTGCTGAGTCTGAGTCTGTCTGTCCTCCGTCCGTCAGGGGTGAGTGTGCTCTTAGCACAGACGTCCTTGAGGACAGGCAGGAGGAGTTCCAGTGCTTTGCGGCTGCTTTGCCCCATCTTGTGTCCACGCTGATTGCCCCTTTTGGAGACCCGGATGGACCAGATATCCCGACTCCTCG